CAGCGCGTGTCTCATACTCTGTGGGCCAGCAGCCGGGGGGGGCTGATCACTCTCTCCGACACATACTGTGTAATGAAGCACGTAAGTGAGCCGCCCTGCAATGGCCTGGCATCCCAGCCAAGGTGTTTCCTGCTTGCACTGGATAAGTGACTATTGAAGACAGGTGGATGGATATTAGCAGAAAGAGTAGCTGTTTGACACTGAGACATGCAGGACATACTGTACAGAGCAGTCAGTTTTTTATACAACTGGCACTTCTGTTTAGACATAGTATGTAGATCTTTTACATAACTTCCATTAACATTTGATGAATGAGTAATTTGGCTAAACATTTCCACACTTGTCTGTGAAAGAGATTCCTTCGGCAGTTGTGTCAAGGTAAATATGTGCCGATGAGAGGCTGATTTCTCCCAGAATATTCACCTCAGGGGAACCAGGGAACACACAAGGTCAGTACTAAACTGTATATGGGTTAAAATGCTATTGATTCTGCACTAGTCAATGCGCAGGAGATATGAATGAAACCTATTCATCCATCCTGCTAGATGGAGGGATCACTAAACATTACACTCAGGTGCCGTCAAAAACTTTCACTTGCAGCCCCTCTCCATCTTACACCTTAATCAAACTGATGCATGTCGACATCATACCAACCAAATTTGTAATTTAACATTTATCTAACACAATCTTTATCTCCAGTGTGGACTTCACCTCTAAGTATTTTTACTTCCTCTCACAATGGAAACTGCAAACTAACATTCATTATGCCAGATTAAAGGCACTGAGTAATTTTCATTTCCAAATATTAAAAAGTTTAATTGCAGGTAGATTTATTTAAAAACATTGTGGCAGTGGCTTTTGAGTCCTTTAGTCAGGGCTGAACAAAAGCTTGAGGCAAATTTGAGCTCAATCAACTGTTAAACATTTACTCAGCCATCAGAGTAATATAAATATGAATATACTAGGTGCACGATGAACAGAGACAATCATCTTGTCTATCAGTTATGTGCCACGGAACTTGCTTCATAAATTATACATAAGAGAAGGTTTATTGTCATCAGAGATTGGCTCTTACATGCTTGTTTCTAATACCAGTTTGCAGCACATACAGATATATTTTCAGGTTAATCTGTTGGCAAGATTTGACAATGCTGCTGGTAGATCGAACTTGATAAAAATCACATTTCTGAGGTAAATTTATGACTAAGTCCATGCAGATAAGAACCTGACCATTGTTATCAAGGCACAAATACATTGGCATGGTGCACTTCATCAAGGAAAGCACAGAGAACTATTTTTTTGCTATTATTTAACTAGTCCTGTAAGAGTGGAAAATTTAATTCTAAATGGAACCTTAAGATTATTCATGGACATTAACAGAAGATGTGTTTCTGCATATAGGTAAGTATTAGCAGCCAACACAATCCTAATTCTCCTTTTCTATTGCTTTGGATTGGCTGTTTTTGGTCTATACGCATAGTTGTCATGGCTGCTCACCTGTTAATGTTTTGACATTTTTGGATGACGGCCGAAACAAAAAGCATCTCTCCAGTGCTGGGTAAGTTTAATCCTTCGTGCATTGAGGGTCTATTCGCACTGTTCCGCATTTCAGTCATTATTAACAGCCTCGAGCTCTCGCCTCATCTTACGTCTCAGCATATCACGGAGCACTGGGCTCCCCGCTCTTTCTTCAGCTTGATAAATAGCTGACAGCCATAGTCACTTTACAGATAAACCTGGGGGAGTGTGGGGATTGTCAGCCACTGTTCCTTTGAGGCTACCAACCACCTTATTTAACGTGACGTTGTGTTAACTCAACTTTGCCCTTGATATGAAAATGTAGGGAGTTCGAAGAGAGCTGAAGCGCCCAGGAGAGTTCTGTCAAACAGATATTCCGTTAAAGGGGATTAACAGCGAATGTAAAAGAAAAAAAATGCATTTTTTAAGGTACCCCTCGAGATTTTAAAGTTTTTACAAATGCAACTGAAGTTATTTTAATGAGTCATGACCAAATATAAGGCTGGATTTTCTTTTCACTTGTGAAAACTAAGAGCTGACTGTGGAGGAATTTTCAGAGTTTATGTTAGCAGCTACATCTAGTTTTCTAGGGAAACTGTCACCTATTCTTGTCTCCACCTTCGTTTCAAGCTCGAGTACGCTCAGTGATTCTCCTGTGCCAACTTGTGATCTTGTCTAAATTTATCTAGTGCTTTGAAATTTTCCCTTTGAAATTAATAGTAATTATGTCTCTGACTTATGACTTATTCTGGAACACATTAAAGTCAGGAGGGCATATGGCAGAAGGGTTAAATTGCCGTGATGTATCTGTGACTCATTGTTCAATCACTTCATCTCTGTACATTAAGAAATGAATCTTCCTGGAAGTTGTCGTTTTGTTTTGACACTTTCCTGCCCCACTCGTCTGCTCCTCCCGTGTGCCACGCCCCCTCATCTACCTTGTGTGGAATCCCTGTGTTACCAGCTGTTTCTCGTTGTTGATTAGTCCAGTGTATTTAAGTCCACGTTAAAGTATATTTTTCCAGTCAGGTCATTGACGTCCGTCTTTTGCTTTGCCTCGTGTTTCGTGTTGTTTGCTAAATAAATCCCTAGTTTACCCGATTCTTCGTCTCTGGCTGCTGCTTCCCTACCGAAAGCCACGACAGACACGTTGGCTTTGTGTCAGAAATTTGCTTCAATACAGTTGAGTGCAAGCAAAAGTCATGGGACGATGAGGTAAGTCGGAGGTAGAAATGTGGGCTGCAAGAATTATTTACCAGGTGAACAAACACCAGCAGACAGACAGGGTACTGAAGAAGTGGTCTTAACCACAGATGGACAAAGTGGTCACCAGTGTAGCCTTTAGCTTACCTGGGTTTGCTGATATAGCTATAGATGGCTTATGTTAGTAGAAAAGTTCCTCGATTTTTAAAAATTTTTCTCTGCTGTACCACCAATATGTTGATCCTTGCAAGCAGAGGCATATTTCATACCAGCATGCATCAGAAGCAGAGCAGGTAAGGCAACGCGGGGAGGAGAAAGCATCGTTGTCTGTGAATGTACCAGAATGTCAGCCACCAGAGCAAAATGAACTGCAGCTTCAAGACATTAGATCCTAATGGATTTTTTTCTGCCATGATGCCTTTTACCAGACAAGGTTTAATGGAAGATGGTGTCTCAGAGATGCCATGCTGTTTAATCTCCTGGATCCTCCTCACTCCACTCTGAATAGGGAGCCCAGAGTGGATACGCTTACCAGGCAATTAGTGTGATGCAAATTGTGTGGATATGTGTGTTGACACGGTATTTCTGTAATGAAATCATCGGATAGCTTTTGTTGCGTTCCCTCTGACTGAAAACTGCTTTGCATGTCTTTTTACTATATTCTTAGTTTGTTTTATTTCATATTACCTTTTATTGTGCCTTTTACTTTTTATTACTATATTTGTCTATATTATTATTTTTTTCTTTTTCTCCGTAAAGAATCTTTAATTACCTCTGCATATGAAAAGTGGTATATAACTGAATAATGTGAAATAACTGCAGATGTGAAATCTGCTGATCCCGAAAGAACCCCTAAGGGTTTAGCTCTGGTCCATGCCTGGAACCATCTCAACCGAGACGATAGACAAGATTAGTTTGATATTGTATTCAATACTAACAGCAAACAAATTAATAGGTACTGAATGGTCTGAGTAGGCAAAATTAGGTGAGAAGCCCCTTCATCCATCCATCTATCTACCCATCCATAACTGCTTAACCACTGTAGAGTCACACTGAACCTGAAGTCTGTCCCTTCATGTACAATAATAGAAAACAGACCTCTCCTCTCCTCTAGTACTGACATATCCAACCCTTTGACCCAACTTTTAAATCAGATGCAAATTTTCCTCTCCCTGGCTGGTTCCCCCAATCAGCTGTTGTTTATCTCTGTTTCAGTTTCACTTCCTCAGTTTGTTAAACACCAAAACCCAATTAAGTCCTGGTTCAGTCTACTTTAATTTATTTTTGTCTAATTTTCAGGTTCACTGATTACCCTGCTATTGTTTGGAATATGTCCAGCAGAGGTCCTCAGTCCAAAACAAAAACTATTATGAATTTGCAGGCTACTTTCATTAATAATTCTTTGTACTAAACACACAGTAGTTAAAATCCTGCTCTCTTTCCACTGAGATTAGGCAAGGGAATATGCAGCTTACAATTAATTTAGTTAATAAGCCTACTTCTGAATCTAAATCTAATGGTATTTGGACACCATGTCAGGAGATTACATAAGATTAAGTTGTACTTGCCAGATTCAGGGTTGCTGGTTTGTCATTTATAAAAAGCACAAAAATGTCTAATGTTGATTTTGAATCCTGTAACCAGAGGCAGACTAACCATAAAGCAAAACTAGGGGGCCCATGAAGATCTCATTTCCAGAGGTTACATTTAAGAATATAACATTATAGCAACATGTCCATTACTAATTTTTAGCAACAATTTTTAGGATAGACAAAGTTGCCCCCCTGTGGGCTATAATGGACTATTCCTACTTCGAGACTTTGCATCACCCAACTTTCTTTTTACACTGGAGTCTACCGGTTATGTCACCGCCAAGCAAACTGGCACAAAGTAGCCTAACAGAACAAAAAGCAGCGCAAAGATACAAAATTAACATTGCATGTCCTGTGACTCTGAGGGAGTGGTAAACAAATTGTGACCAGGCATGGAGAGAACACAATTAAACAATTGTATGCAAAAGTGCAAAACTAACCTTAGCAAAAGAGGGAAAGGTTAAACTTCTTAAATTCAGCCGATCAACCTGCTGGCGTGATACGGATTTTTAGTCTGATCTGCGAATTGTATCGACTGCACTCCTGCCCCCATCCTTGGCTGTTTCACATTAGCTCTCGTTAGCAGCTTTGGAAGTTGATAATGAAGTTACCCCTCACTTTGATTAGCATATTATTGATGTTCCATTGTTTTTAATTTCTCCTCATTTCTCTTTGAGCTCCAAAAAAAAGCTCGTATCAGCCTATGGCCCCAGAGAAGTTAGTCCACCTGTGCCTGTAACCAACTGCAATCTTTTCATTTTTTACCGAAAAATGTGTAGAGTTATTTTCTTTTCTATGCATGGTTAGTGCTTACACCTTATTCATGAATATAAAGTTTTTTGTTAAAAATGCAGGTGCTTTAACCACAGCAGGAACCGCAAATTATGCAATTGGGGAAAATGTGTAATTGTTATTACTAAATGATGTGTAGTACATGCTCACAAATTTTTTTTGCTTCAAACTCATTGTCAAAATGAAACATATACTGCATCTACAGTTAATACCTGCTTCAGTTTTTTTGCCAGACTTTTCCCACGGGTGGATTAATGAACAGGCCTGTCTA